ATACACGATATGCTGGTCAGAAGAAGACTGAAGAGAGACAAAATCTTGCAGGAATATTATTATGCGAAAGAAATAGCTGCTAGAAGCAAAATAGAAGCAGAAGCATGAAATACGTGATTGACGAATTCCGGAATTCCGGAAGACGCACAGGGCAAGATGATATTGTACGGAGCTAAAAAATTGACAGAATTCAAGGAGAAGCATAAAGTATACGAAGCAATTCGGAAGAATACTGAGAGGATGAGAACGAGAGAGAAGAACAGCATGTCGAAAAAGACAGAGGAAGCGAGGAAACCAACAACATCAAAAAGTGGCGAAAAGAAACAGGAGACAGACGTGCGGTGCTACAATTGCGGCGGTAAAGGACACAAATCTAAAGACTGTAAGAAGAAAGAATTAGGTAAAAAATATTTTAAGTGTTAAAAATACGGGCATACGGCAAATTTGTGTAACGCGTCAGACGATAGTGAAGCGGTAGCGGATAATTAATACGGTTACTGATTCATCGAGTGGTAGAATGTTTAAACAAATCACGATAAACGGTGTGCGGGTTAATGCGTTGATTGATACCGGCAGTCAAATCACGGTAATGCGCAAAGATGTTTACGATAAAATGAAATTAGATAAGCTACGGGAAAATAGTATCTGTTTAATCGGTTTTGGAAAAAACGAAGTGCATTCATTAGATTGCGTAAATATCATTGTAGAAGTAGATGCTGATGAATATCCGTGTATAGTGCACGTTGTGCCGAACGAAGCTACAAATTCAAGCGTCATAATTGGTAGCGATTTCCTAGCGATGACGGAAATGATCGTCAATAACGACGGAATAACTATACGAAGAGCAACATCTGCTCAATTGTTAACACAAATCAACGTGATCGAAAAGCAATCGTTAGACATTGGTACATGACGGATCCGAAAGTACGCGAAGAAGTAGAGACAATTGTTGAAACATATCAAGTAAATAAGTGTAAGACAACGGACGTGAGTATGCGTATTGTACCAAAAGACGAAAGGCCTATCTTTCAAAAACCGCGACGATTACCGGCACCTGAGCGCGAAATAGTCGAAAACCAAATAGCGGAATGGCTAAACGACGAGGTCATTGAGAAGTGTACGTCGGAATACGCGAGTCCAATAGTCATTGTAAGAAAGAAGGATCACCGCGTGTATGTATTGATTATAGGAAGTTAAATCATAGAAAAGGACGGTCATCCTTTACCACTAATCGAAGATCTAGATAAATTAGAGAATGCTTGTGTATTTAGTACGTTAGACCTGAAAAATGGATTTTTTCATGTATCCGTAGAAAAAGAGAGTCGAAAATATACGGCGTTTGTCACTCCGAACGGTCAATATCAATTCTTGAAAATCCCTTTTGGATTATATAATTCGCCAAGGATTTTCCAAAGATATATTAATGCTGCTTTCTGGGATTTGATTAGACAAAATATAGTATTGCTTTACATTGATGACTTGATCGTACCGACAGCAAACGAACAAGAAGCGTTGGAACGCTTGCGAATTGTATTAAAAACAGCTAGCGACTACGGTTTACAAATTAATTTTAAAAAGTGTCAATTCGTGAAAAGACTCATCGAGTTTCTAGGTCATATAGTAGAAAGGGGCAAAATTTACCCTTCCCAAGAGAAAGTCCAAGCCGTGATAGATTACCCAGAGCCGAAAAAATTAAAAGATATTCAAAGCTTTCTTGGATTAACAAGTTACTTCAGAAAGTTTATATCTTCGTATTCTACAATCGCGAAACCGAACAATCGCAAAATGTTGAACGACATGTTGCGGAAAGATCAATTGTATAATTTAGATGAAGGCTCGAAACGCATACAATTGAAGACGATTCTCAGAATCCAGTACTGAAAATATATCATTCGCGACACGAAATGGAAGTACATACGGACGCAAGTATAAACGGTTATGGAACTGTACTTCTGCAGTGTTCAGACGAAGACAACTCAGTATATTTTATGAGCAAAAAGATTAAAAAAGAGGAAAGGAATTACATGAGTTACGAATTGGAGGCACTTGCGATAGTAGAGGCACTTAGAAAATTCCGAGTGTATCTGTTAGGAATTCAATTTAAAATAATTGTGCGGCTTTTCAACGAACCATGAGCAAAAAGGAGTTAAGTACGCGTATTGCTAGATGGACTTTAGTGTTAGAGGATTATGATTACATCATAGAGCACAGATCGGGAACCCATATGAAACACGTCGATGCTTTGAGTCGGCATCCGATTATGACAATAGCGAAAAGTCCAATTATACCACAAATTAGGAGTCAACAAGCAAGCGATGAAGAGATTCAAGCGATAAAAAAAATTTTCAAAGACAATTCGTATAAGAATTATCACATAAGTGGCGATTTATTATATTTCAAGATGGTAGGAATTTATTCGTTATTTCCAGAACACTAGAATTAGACGGAATTCGAACGATTCACGAGAAAGGACATATGGCGGCAAAACATACCGAAGAGCGTATTCGTCAGGAGTATTTTATACGCGATTTAAGGAATAAAGTAGAACGACACATTGCCAGTTGCGTGCAGTGTATATTGACGAATCGCAAAGAGAGTAGGCAGGAAGGATATTTACATCTCATTCCCAAACCTGATGTGCCATTGCACACATATCACGCCGATCATTTAGGGCCGTTAGATATCACTAATAAAAACTACAATTATATTCTCGCTATTATTGACAGTTTTACTAAATTTGTATGGTTGTATCCGACTAAATCTACCACAGCCATCGCGAGGTTACAAGTCAATTAGACGTGTTCAAAAACAAATATTCGGGAGTCCGAAACAAATCGTGAAACAGATAGAGGTACAGCTTTTACCTCCCAAGAGTTCAAGGAGTATTGTCAGAGTGAAGGAATTGAACACGTGACAGTTACCACGGGATTGCCAAGGCAAACGGACAAGTGGAACATTTGAATAGAACAATCATATTGATACTCTTCAAGTTATCAATCGAAGAGCCTGCTAAATGGTACAAACATGTAGATAAATTGCAACGTATATTAAATTCCACGTTCAATCGTAACGTAAATGCGACGCCTTTCGATTTACTATTTGGCGTAAAAATGCGCGACGAAACCGATTTTAAACTACGCAAAGTAATAGAACAAGAATTTCGATCAAAATTTGAGGAAGAGTGTAACGAAATTAGAGCGAAAGAACAAATTCTGAAAGTGCAATCGGAGAATTGTAAGACATATAATCTCAGACGTAAGAAGGCTACAGAATACCAGGTGGGAGACCTAGTAGCAATCAAACGAACATAGGTCCAGGCCGAAAATTACGAGCGAAATATTTAGGACCATATCGAATTGAGAAGGTTAAGCCTAATGACACATATGATGTGATTAAAAACGGATCTCACGAAGGACCTATAAGTACTTCTACCTGCGCTGAGTATGTTAAACCTTGGAATACCGTTATAAGTAATCAATTTTATTTGTAAGACGTTAATTATAAGCAATCAATTTTATTTGTAAGACGTAATTATAAGTAATCAATTTTATTTGTAAGACGTCAATTATAAGCAGATTTTATTTTTGTAAGACGTTGTAATGTTAAGTCGACTAATGGTAAGTGAGTTCAAGCGATCATAGCAAACACGATAAGCGTGTTTTTCGTTTCTTTTGTTGTTTTTGTGAATTTAGTAGAAACTGTTTTGTGTAACATTAAGTTAACAGCTGGCGTCGTGCGAGACGCACGATTGTGCAGAATGGCCGAATGTAAGAAGAATATATGTTTTTATAAATTTTTATTTTGTTCGCGCGTTTCTGACTATGACGATATGCGCTAGAGTCAATGCGCTTGAAGGAAAAGGTAAAGGAAGATTAGTAGAGTAAGAGGAGAGTTGGAAGATGGAGGAACACGTGTGTGGCACGGCGAAGCGTGAAGTGTGATTTGTGATTCTCTCCTGAATTGTTGTCTATAAATATTGGCTCACCAAACATTCCATCATCGGAATCATCTTATTTCCTACATTAATGCGTCAATTAAAATGATACACTCTGTATAAAATGCACATTCCATCCATTAGTAATGAAATTTTTACCAAAGTAGAACTTTTATATTAAGAAAATGTCTATGTTATATAATAGGTCTACAAATTGAAAAATACAAATTTTCAATTTTTTTTTCGTTTTTAGTAAAAAGTCATTTGCCCCACTTTCTAATTTTACGTCTACTTTAATCTTGTAAAACGATTTTTGATTCTGTTCAGTCAATTCAGAAATTCATATGCCTATAATGTGTTGATAATTCTGTTACTCCAGCATTCTTTTAACTATATGTATACAGAGTGTTTTTTAAATAGCGGATACTAATCATGTAGCTCTATTCCTGATTAAAAATTGAGTCGAAAAATTCTCTACAATTTCGCAATTTTCGCAACGACGAAATATTAATTTTTAAAAATTGCATAAGCGCGTATTCGGTTACCCAATTATAAACTATTATGAAAGTTGCAAAATGGTAGAGGACTTTTCAATTCAATTTTTAATCAGGAATAATATATAATATGTGATTCAACAATCACTTATTCGACGATCTTTAGAAATTAATATTTCCATAATCATTGCGAAAATTGCAAAATGGTAGACTTTTCAATTTTTCAGGAATAGCGCTATACGATTAGTGTCGACTAGTTAAGGAACACTCTATAATAATACGTACAATTAATGTCGCAATAAATATTAATTCTTTGATATATTTGATTTAAAAAATTGATTCCAATTTATCAGAAATTTTTCAATTAATCAAAGAATTTGTCAACTAAGATATTCATTCAATCATTTACAGATAATTCATACGATACGTTTATAAACATATACTACACTATGTTCTCCTTATAAAACAATTAATAAATACATTAAAATATTTAATTTATTAACAATAATATCCAATCCTTACAATCAACATGTATACATATATATATGTATAAATTAGAAGATCTCTCTTACATCATGATGAGCGAAGTCATTGCTGCTATTGTCTTGCCGCACAAGATCATCTATAAAGACAATATTATATATTATTTCTTTGCACATAATGATTTAAATATGTATATCAACAAGGGAAGATTCCCAATTCAAAAAAATTTTTTATTATGAAACTTTCGCAATTTTCTATATAATAAGCTATTTTTTTTACTGAATAAGCAATTGTCTTTATTTTATATATATATATATATA